ATTTTTTAAAGAGAAGAAAGTTGACAAAAGAGACTCGCAAATCGCAATTCTCAAATCTCAACACACCACGCACAAAAAAGAGAGAAAAAGACTATGGAAAACGCTTCTAAAACCTAACCCTTTCGGCCTTTTCCATAGTAAAGTGTATCGCTAATCACTGTATTGTAATTGATCTGAACATGCTCTCGGAGCAAAGTCAGCAAACCCCCAATATTATAAGCGCGCTGAAGTAATGATATCGCATGTTCGTCTCTTTGGTACCCATTGCAATTTCTTCTGTTTTGAATCTTCAGTTCTTACCTCTTCGATACTTGATAAGATCGAACACAAACTAGATGGTGGTATCTTACAACTCAAAAATAAAAGAGATTCATTTCCTGGTACACACTCTATGATCATATATATTTCCTTGAAGAATCTCTCTTGGAAAACTGAAGTTCACCTAAGTCACAGCTATTTAATATTAACTTTTCTTGCAGTTACATTTATAGGTGATGAAGCCGTTGACTTCTTCATTTTTTTAAAGTGATTATTTATAAAGTGTGTGATGCACCGATATATTTAATGAGTATTGTTAGATATGTGATGTGTCGATTATTTTTGCGAGTTTGTTACACATGTCTCTATTTTAAAAAAGTAATATTAAGATCACTTATGCAAGTACAGTAGAACTTCTATAAATTAATAATGTTGGGACCATCAAATTTTATTAATTTAGCGAATTATTAAATAATCGATAAATTAATAAATTATTAATTTAAAGAATCTTTTCTAAAAAAAAAAAGACAACAAAAGACAATACAAATTGTTTTAATCGTCAAAATTCGTTCAATAAATGAAGCATCGGCATTGGTCTCAAATGATGCAGCCCAGGAAAGACTTCATGAGCTTCAGAACATGATTACTCATTTTGGTTATCACAATAAGATGAATGTCGATCAATTGGTGGATTATCCAGGTGAAAATGATGAGTCTACAGAGGTCAAATCATTTGAAGATATTGTGGCTAGTGTCCTTGAAGATAGTTCAATGGAGGATGAAGGTGATGATGATTCAATGCCTTTGGCACCAGTCACATGAAAAGAAGCACTCAAATCAGTAATAACTCTTTACAATTCCTTGTTGCAATTTGAGAATACAACCCCAGAGCTTTCAAGAGCAATGAGACAAATCAAGGATGAAATTTCATTGGATATAAATTTCAAGAAAAAACAAGTACCAATAAGTTCATGTTTTTCTCTTTTTTCCTAGTAGTATTTATTTTTTATTTTTTATTTTTTGCATTTAGGGAATTTATTAATTTATAGTATTGTTGGGACCTATAGATATATAAGGGGTTTTCTGAAACATTATTATCTTATCATTTTATCGATTTTTGTCACTTTTTTGTACTGGTCCCAAGTTGGGACCGGAGAAAATTATTAATTTGTAGAAGTTATTAATTTATCGATTATTAATATACCGACGTTTTACTGTATTTTTTTATTTGGATCAAATGTAAATTTGTATTAATGTAAAACTCATACATATTTACAATTTCCTAGCAGCTATGAACTAAACTTGACTTCCAAGTGACTACAAATCAATTCCTAGACTCCTCAGAAATTGATTCTCAATAGTCCTAGTTTTAAACTTGTTGCACTTTCATCCTCACTTCATGTTTCATATTCCTGATTCTATTACAAACTGGAATTTCCTCACCTCCAAACTTCCTACCATTTCGTTCCATCCAACCATTATAGATCACAACATTTACACAGGCAAATACTAGTTTCTGCTTGACTTTACTATACCTCCAAATCCTCCTCAATCTGGTAGCATTCAATGTGCTAATCTCAGTTTGCAAGCCAATCCACTCCTGCATCTCTTTCATCAATTTTTTGTATATGAACACTGGAAGAATAGATGCTTTATACTCTCTAGTTCCTGTTGACATAAACAGCAGACATCTGAACTGACAGCTATTTGAAACTTGATCAATCTGTCAACTGCTAACAACCTTCCATGCCATGCTAGCCAACTAATGAAGCATTGCCTTGGAAGACTATAACCATTCCACACAATGCTGGCAGCTTGAAATTTCTGTGCATTCCCTCTCATCCATTTATAACCTCCCTTGGCAGTATATATAGGCTCTCCCTTGGCCTCCTATCCACTTCCCTTGCCTGATTCCTCCTTTCAGTTACTCTTTTAATATACATAGCTTCTTCCAGTGCCAGCTACACTCCTGTAGCGCTTTGTAATCCCACCAACACTTTCCTTTAATGTGATACAAATGCACCCACCTAATGGGATCACCTTGTCTAAGTCCCCTTTTTCCAGCAAAGGAACCTCTATTACTACCATTCAAGTTCACTGAATACATACAGGTGGTAACACATTCCATTATCTAACCAATAAGCCTTTGAGGAAACCCATATGCTTGCAACATTTCTTCAATAAACTACCAATTTACAGAGTCATATGCCTTCCTGATATCAACTTTCATCACACAACTAGGTTTTGCACTTTTTCTCTTATAAGTTCTTATGAGTTCTTGAGCCAATAAGATATTATGCAAGATCAGTCTTCCTTTGACAAAGGCTCCCTGATTTAGTGCTATCAAATCAGGCAGAACTTTGCTCAACCTTTTACAAAGCATCTTAGATATGCATTTGTAAATGGTATTATAGCATGAAATTGGCCTGTACTCCTTCGCATCCTTTGGCACTGCTGTTTTTGGAATTAAAGAAATTAGAGTGGTATTTACTTGTTTAAGGAGTTTACCTGTTTTGAAGAACTCTAACACAGCTCCACCAACTTCATCTCCAATGATACTCCATGTACTTTGAAAAAAAACTAGTACTAAATCCATCCGGTCCAGCACTTTTGTTGCTATCTATGCTGAATATAGTTTCCTTGACATCAGCTATGGTAAAGTCTTCAATCAAGCTAAACTGCTGATGAATATTCAACTTGATCCCAGCCTTAAAAACCTCAGGTTGAGCTGATGATCTTGGAATAGCTATTCCCAGCAAGTTTTCATAGTAGCCAACAAAGTGTCTTTCCACCTACTGCCAGTCCTCAATCAACTCTCCACTTTGATTCTGAAATGATCTTATCCTGCTCTTGTGAGCTTTCTCTTTTATGCAAGCATGATAATATTTGGTATTTAGATCCTCTTCCTGAATCCATCTATCTTATAATCTTTGAGCCCAAAAACTCAGAAAAGCCTTACTTGCAATTATATAATCCCTTCTATCTCCTGCCTTTGCAATTCTTCCTGTAGGGGGTTACTTTGTTTCACTTCCTGTATCTTTTCTAGTTTCAACTTCAGTTGGAGTGCCTTTTCCTCAATTCCTCCAAATTGAGTTCTATTGAGCTCCTTCAACTTTGCTTTATGTAGTTTTTGCCTTTTTACCACTACAAATTGCTTGCAGCCTGTTACTTTAACATTCCATCCTTCTGCCACCAGCTTCATATAATCAGGACTTTGAATCCACATATTAAAGAATCTGAACCCTTTAATACCAGCTATGTCATCTTCTACCCACTTAATCAACAAAGCTTTATGATCATATATACTTTCTGATAAAACGGTAGTATATGATATACTATAATGATTGAGCCAAGCACCATTCACCAGTGTACTGTCTAGCTTTGAGTAAATTCTATTCTCACCCAGCTGTTTATTATTCCAAGTAAACAATCCTTCTTGGATTGGCATATCCCAAATTTCACTATCCTCAATCCACTGTTTGAATTTCTCAGTACTGTATTAACTTCATTTAGGCCTCCCCATCTTTCATTTGAGTTCAGTACGCAATTAAAGTCCCCCATTATTAGACAAGCATCTTGTATCACGGTACTTACTCTTTTCAAATCTTCCCATAATTGACATCTACCCTGTGCTAAGTAATCAGCATAAACAACTGTGATGAAGTAATGCTTTTTACTTTGCAACTCTTGCACACTGATATGAATAATTTGCCTGTTCATTTCCAACAGCTGAACCTTATACTCTCCTTTCTTCCAAACCACCAATATTCCGCCTTTATCATTTCCTATCTCATTACTGATCATAAGAGCTCCATTTTTATTTCATCAGTTCCTCCACCTTTTCATGTTTCAGTTTAGTTTCCAATAATCCAGCCAACCTAACTCTATTCACAGAGAGGTAAGTACCAACCTCCCCGTGTTTCAGGAGACTATTTAGTTCCCTTACATTCCAGTCTGCGCCAGTCTGCGAGTACTTAAGGACTAGTAATTTTCGCGTTTGAATATTCCCAATATTGGGGGATGAACAATCGGAATCGAAGTTCATGCCCTAAACAGTCAGAAGTCCAATGAATATGCTTGTTCCCCCCCCCCCCCTCCCCTTCTTTCTAATAATTAAATTTGCAATTACACATCATTAAGAGAAACAAATATACTACCTCCGTCCTACAATAATAGTCCACATTGAATTTTCAAATTTGTACTAAAAATAATACAAAACTCAAAACTCAATATGAACTATTTTTGTGGGACGGAGGGAGTATCATTTTTTTTTTTTTTGTGACTGACAAAAATAAAAATGATTGAGCTAGCAGATATTATAGAGTGGAAGAGGATATGGAAATAAAATTACTCTCAAATCCTTTTATCTTTCACTATTATTAAGCAAGCAAAGGGCTTCCTATAATCGAATTGAGCAAAGTATTTATGTTATTGGAAATATATATACTCAGCGGATTCATGAAAAACGAAAAGAAAAGAAGGGGGAAAAAATAAACAGTTGGGGCGTAATAAGTTAAATGTATTCACTATTCACCGTCGAAATTGGATTGTGCTGACATTAAACTTATTCATTTTGAGCTGATTTGTCCTGTTTTCAGAGGTATTGTCGTAATTTACCATCGGATTGCTTATCTAAGATTTGGCAACTTCGCTTAAAAGAGAAGGGGAAGAGAAAATTTCCCCAAATTGTCTCTATATAAAGTCTGACCATCTTGCCCCATGCAAAATCATTTGAAAAAAAATTGGAATCATCCCCCCCCTCAAGGCAAGAATAGGAAATGGCAATCATCATCTTCTTAGCTTTCTCTCTCCTCCTTCATGGATCTCTTGGTACTCTTCAATTTTTATCACACTAATTAACTTAAAATGATCTTTTTTTTTCTTTTTATTGTGTGTATTGTTATTAATTCACCATAATATTTCTGTTTGAAAAGGACAATTCAATCAGGACAATCGATTTATTAGACTAAGATTCTTTAGTAATTTTTACAAAATTAGAAAGTTCATTTGACGATCAAATGAACTATATATGTATATATTGTCTATCACTTGTTATTTTTATGATCCGTTTTATCTCTTGTGTAGGTGAACTTGTGTGTGATGATCTGCCGGTGAGCATGTGCGCCTTCTCTATATCATCGTCCGGGAAGCGGTGCTCTCTGGAGACCGGTGACCGGCCGGGGATTTTGTTGTGCACGACTTCGGAAGTAATTGTGAATAGTATCCGGGAACACATCGAGACCGACGAGTGCATCAACGCTTGTGGCGCCGATCGGAATGCCGTCGGGATTTCATCGGATTCACTTTTGGAGTCTCAATTTGTTGCCAAGATTTGCTCCAAGGAATGCCTAAACAATTGCCCCAATATTGTTGATCTTTATTCCAATTTAGCTCTGGCCGAGGGTAACTATCAATTGTGCACAAAACATCTCAATTAATTTACTCTCGCCCTTTCTAAATCATAAATAATACCGTCGATTACAAATCAAATTTAATTTTAGAAATACAAGATTATATCATTATATTATTTTAAGACAAAAAGACTAATACGAATAACATCTCTAATGTGATAATATATACTGATGTGAGTATACTTTTTTAAACTAAAACATGACATTTTTTTAAAAAAATTTTTGGTTTTGTTTTCTATAGGAGTGTTTTTGCCGGGGATGTGCAAGGCGCAAGAACACGGTCGAATCCGGAGGGATTTGTCGCAGATGAAGAGTTCCGGCGGCGTAAAAGCTTCTCTAGTTCCTTCTTTTACGGCTGCTGTTTCCGGCCAAGTTTCAGCTCCCGGACAAGTTTCTGCCCCTGGTCCAGTTACCGCGCCAGGTCCGATTTCCGCCTCAGCCGCGTCACCAATCTCGAATGAAGCTGCCGCCGTGGCACCGATCTCATCCGCCACCGCTGATGTTCAAGCTCCAATTATGGCGGCGGCTTGGCTGTCATAAATAGCATTCTAGTATAGTTTAGTCAAGTTGTGCGTGTCATGGTGGACATGGAGCTGGGATCAGGTGAATGCCAACACAGAGATGCATGATGTAATGCCCTTTTGTAATAAAAGAAAAATAATACTTGTCTCCATATACTTCCAACCTAATTATAGAATTTCCTTAATATTCTTATTATTCATTAAAGAAAAACTTAATAATAAAATTATTCATTACAAGTATTGATCGTTCCTGAATATATTTGTGTCTGTGGGTGGATTTAGTATAGGATAATTACGATGATTAAATTGGGACAAATGTTTTGGCGTTTCTCATTGCGATGTCATGGTGTCATTTGTTGCTCTAATAAAAGCATGTAATATTATTACGTCTTCAAAGCGGTGAACACACGACTTTGCTTTTTGATTGCGGCGTTGTTTGAAGAACTGAAGAAGCAAAAAGATTTTTAGTTCTGGTTCGGTACGTATTATAACGTTGTTCGTTTCCGTAGATTGTGTATATCTCCTCCAATACTAATAAACAAGTGAAAGAAACTCCAAGGCTTTTAATGTTGAGAAAAAAATAAAATAAAATACTCCCTTTTTATTATCCCTTTTTGACAAATTTTACCGAATGATGGCATCCATGCATGGTTATGGTGGCCGTTGTGTATCAATAAATTTTTTGAAAGGGTGAAAATGTGGGGAAAATTTGATCCCGGTCGGCAATAATGACGGAGGCAGCAACGGCAGTGACGATGGTGGTTGGTGGCGGCGATGATGATGGTTATGTGGTGGCAGGCAGGCTGGCAGGGTGATCATATATTCATATGTAATGTGGTGATGGGAGTGGTGCGTATCTGAGAGAGCATGGTGATTACCTAATTTGTTCCGAGGTTTTAAATGTTTATGCTCATATGAATTCAGTCTTTTTTTTCTCTTTTTTTTCCTGTTCCTAAAGTGGTCTGGTCATACTTTTTATACTCCATTTTATCCTTAATATAAGGTATTTCTTTTTAAAAAAATATAAGGTATTTTGACTTGTCCTAAATTTACCTTATACATATTTTTAATTGATAAAAGAATCTTAAAAATATAACACAACGAATATGAAAAATACAATGTTCTCAAGATTTTTTTATCAATTAAAAAACTTAAGACAAATCAAAATGCTTTATATTAAGGACCGGTAGGAGTACTAACGAAAGGAAATAGAAAAGCAGAACAACTCTTTTGAGATGATAGATTGTAGAAACTATGAAAACTAAAAGTATAGTCTATTTAGAAGGTTTTCTTAATTATGAAATGTAAAATAAATTTCATAAAAAAAACTCCATGGTTTGGTGTTTGGAAGTTGGAGCCTCGATTTTAGTCATGGAGTAATTCTTTGATTAAAACATAATATTGTTGGTGTCTCTTGCCAAAGAAATACTCTCGTGTCATAATTAATATTTTTGCCTCCTATATTGTACCAAAAAAAGAAAATAATAACGAAAAAAACAATATAATCGTGGCTGAAGGAGATATGGAAAATGCAAATAGGAATAGATAGACATGCAGAAATTTGGGCTTCAATATCTGGGCTTCAGCGCAAGCTTTTCAAATCTTGGATATCATCCACAAAGCGCCTAAACTATGGGCTTGTTAATTTCATGTGACATAAATTACGATCCAAATAATCATTATGGAAGAGTGTCGTACTTTTGAAGCTAATTTAATAAAGAGCTATAACATCCAGCCACAATAATCAAATATGTCTCTCTTTTGGATTGATCTCACTCAAGCTCAAATCATTTGAGAACCCCAAATTTTGGTTCCTGGATAGTCAATGTAAAGCACCAGTCAAATGATATTTTGAGAGACAAAATGCCAAATGTTAATCAACAACAACTCTTTGACATATGCTCTTGGTATCTGTTGCAAAGAAAGAGGCAAGACCTGGCCAATTAAATTGAAATATTTTTTAAATTATTAACAGCCCCTATAATTAACACCATGTGCTATTCACATTTCAGCTATTGTTGGAAGATATTGTAGAAGAAGCACCCCTAGTCCTTGAACTTCTAGAAATGCCATAATTTGACACAAAATTAGTTTCTCACCGTATATGAATCACCTCCACTTCTCATCCGCGGCTACATATTTCTTTGATCGAATGGACTCAACTATCATGGATTCCTAGAAACTATTGCTTATATTGTTGGCATTTGAGTTGCGAATGATTAAGATATATTCCTCCACTTTAGCATCTCTAATTATTTACATCATGGGTAGCCAATATCTAAACCTTGATGGTACGTGTTGAGGATGTGAATATCATCATGGAGTTGTCCCCGCAAAAGATACAAGAAAATATGTTGTAGAATTCTCCTCTTAAAACACATGTTTTAAGTCTACTATTCAACCTTCACTTCATTTTATCTAGGTTGATGATGTCGTCTACCTCATTTCGAGTAATTGCCATCTCTTGTGCCATCACTAATTTAGCCGTATCTCTAAAGTTTAGCTCCGGTAATCGTCCCATAACCAATTTTTAAAACAATATGTGCGCATGCGTTTAGCTTTTCTTTCGACTTAATTATATGTTATATATTTTCATTTAAATTGTAGATTTTTTTTATTAAAAAAAAACAAAAATAAAAATCTAAGGCCAATATCTTGATATTATATCTTTCTCATTTATCATATTCTTATTGTATCTTTATCTTTTCGTTTGATCTAAATTATTTATGTCTCGATAACATAAACTTGATATTTTCAAAAGCTGAAACAGTATGACTGATCTCATGTGTAGTTATTAGTCTCGTCTATTACTAGTTAGTCCTTATAATATGAATACGTTATGGAACTCATTGTATTATTATTCACTAAATATTATCCAATATACTCTCTTCCTTTGAGACAATCTCTTTCTCTATTTCAGCTTCAGATCAAGTGTCATACATTCTTACCAAGCCTCTGTCTAAGGCTATGTTTCATCAATTTGCTGACAAAATTAGACTTTGCCCTATTCTGTCATCAGTTTGTGGTCGTGTGTTAAAATAGTTTTTATTCCATGGTAGTTATTAGTCGTGTCTATCATAATTAGTCGTGTCTATTATTAGTAAGTACTTTGTATTATAAATTCGTTATATAACTCATTGTATCATTCACTCAATATTATCCAATATACTCTCTTCCTTTGAGATAATTTCTTTCTCCAACTCCGCATATCATAAATGAAGGGTAGTAGAACGTAAGAAAGGCCAACACAAGTTTAACTACAATAAATTTTAACATCAAGACACATTTTAAAGAAAGAAAAAGCACAATTAGAATATGATAGTCTCAAAGCTATACAGTCCTTCACTAGTAGAGATATACTAGCTTAATGCATAATAATCAAACAGTTATTGATCTATAATTGACAAATGACAAGTGAAGATAGGTCATGTCCCCGGACCAAGAACGAAGTAGGCAACTTACTAACTTTGGATTTGCACGTTCAATGGGGTTGTATATTTTTCATTCCTCCATCTGGAACACGATAATTAGTTGGTTTAGATAAGAGTGGATATTTTGTAATCAAGCCATTAGGCTCCCAAGTGTTTGTGTGTGTGTGTGTGTGTGCGCGCGCGTCACTCAGTGTGTGTGTGTGTGTGTGTGTGTGAGAGAGAGAGAGAGTATCTTCCAAAAATTGTACCGAAAATCTCCTATAAATATGATCTATAAAATATATAATAATGATAGTAACTGAAAATGATTTCATGTTAGTAGTATAATATTTTCTTTTTAGCACTAGTGTTGTCTTGCGCGATAAAGGCTACTTGTTTATACAAACCTAAATTTAAGTTTGTAAGTTGTTTTTCTTTCTTTTTTTTCCCTTTTTTTTTTGGTAATGACTGGCAATAAACACCTTTTTATTGTTTGTATGTCATAAAGAAAAAAAGTTAAAAATTTTAAGTTAATGATGTCATATTAACTTATAAATCGGTTCTTAATGATTGTCTGAGATTTAGGGTATGATTTGGTCAGTAGAAAATTGTGGAAAAAAATAAAGAGATAGAAAATTTTTATTTAATTATAATTTTGAATTTTGATTGTGGAAGAAACTAATTTTGTTTTGGCATAAATTTGGATTTCGTTTAAGAAGGAGAAAATTGACCAAAGAGGTAGGGAATAGAAGATAATAGATGCTGGCAAAATGAATGATGAAATAGATGTAAATTGACACAGATAAGTTTTAATCTTTGGACATGAAAAAAGAAAAAGGAATGGGTTTGTGGAAGAAAGAAATAAAAACTAGTATTGGTGTAATAAGAAAATTTCAATGATAAATAAATCATTACTAGAAATTTAGGGAATAAATTCCAAAAATTTATTTTAAAAAATTAGGATAAATAATCATTCTTATTTGAAAAAGTCCACCTCAAATATTAATTATAAGTCTCAAAATTAATCAAGATTATTTTTAAATTTTTTTTTTTATAAATTTGAAGCTTGTTTACAGAACAACTCCATAGGTAGGAGTTGGGCTATAAAAAACTAGACTATCTAGTACTAACACGAGGAGGTATTGTCAAAATATATAACCCCTTGGGAGCGGAATAGTCTAACTTAACTATGGAATCCGCTACATTATTCCCTCTTCGGTTTATATGGATATCTTCCCTCTTTGATCCATATGGAGGATATCCACCGTCGAGACTATTTTTTTTCGAGCACTAGAGACCCGGCTAAAGTTAGGATTTTAGGCCTAAAAATTTTGAGGGCCCCTATTATTGGGTTACTGCTTATTTTTAAAATAAAACAAATTTAAGCCTACAATCTTTTAAAAGCCCAACTTAAGATTTGATTGTTTTTAATAAGTTGTTTCGCTGAGAAAAATAAAATTAGAAAAGAAAACTTTCGTTTACGTAATTTGTTTGCCAGTTAGGTTCAGAAAAAAAAGAGGAAAAAGAAAAGTTTTAATTCTGCTTGCAATAAACTCTCGGGTTTATTGTTGACGGTGCTAACCCTAGATAAAGGAGAGTTTGCGTTTAGTTGGTAGCGATTAACCAATACCAAAAGTTTTAATACTCCTTTTTTAAGAGAAAAAAAAAATCCGAAAGGGTTCGCTTGAGGCCCCCTCAAGGGTTGTGTCGACCATGGGCACAGAGTTAATAAAGAGATTTTGTACGGTAACATGTACATTTTGCTTAACACTACTTAATGGTTAA